CAGGAAACTTCTTAGCTTTGGTTTAGTCCAGTTGTGCTGACTTCCTGTGTAGTGTGTGCTGTCCTTCCCTTCACCTAAGATAATTCTTATCTACTATCTAATTAGTAAATAACCCTCACCCTCCCTACCCACCCTTGAAACTATCAAAGAATGTTTTCTTCTGTGTTTAAACCTTTTCTTAAGTTCTTATAATAGCGGTCTTATACAATATTTGTCTTTCTGGGACTGACTAAATTCACTCAGTATAATGACTTCCAGCTTCCTCCATGTTATGTTTCAAGGCTTCATCACTGTTCTTTATCATTGTATAGCATTCCATTGTGTGGATACACCATGATTTGTTTATCCATTCTTCCGCTGATGGGCACCTAGGTTGTTTCCATCTTTTTGCTTTTGTGAACAGTGCTGCAATGAACATGGGTATGCATATATCTATTCATGTGATGGCTCTTATTTCTCTAGGATATATTCCAAGGAGTTGGATAGCTAGACCGTATGGTACTTCTATTTCTAGCTTTTTAAGGAAGTGCCAAATCGATTTCCAAAGTGGTTGTACCATTTTACATTCCCACCAACAGTGAGTAAGTGTTCCAGTCTCTCCACAACCTCTTCAGCATTTATTATTTTGTGTTTTTTGGATTAATGCTAGCCTTGTTGGGGTGAGACGATATCTCATTGTAGTTTTGATCGGCATTTCTCCAATGGCTAATGATCATGAGCATTTCTTCATGTGTCTGCTAGCTGCCTGAATGTCTTCTTTGGTGAAGTGCCTGTGCATATCCTTTGCCCATTTTTTAAGTGGGTTGTCTCTTTGTTGTTGGGCTCTTGCAGTATCTTGTAGATTTTAGAGATTAGAGGCTGATCGGATTTGTTGTAGCCAAAACTTCTTTCCCTGTCTGTAGGTTGTCTTTTTACTCTTTTGGTGAAGTCTTTTGATGAGTATAAGTGTTTGATTTTTAGGAGGTCCCAGTTATCTAGTCTCTCTTCTGGTGCTTGTGCATTGTTACTTATAGTTCGTGTTGTGTTTATGCCATGTATTAGGGCCCCTAGCGTTGTCCTATTTTTTCTTCCATGATCTTTACCGTTTTTGATTTTACATTTAAGTCTTTGACCCATTTTGAGTTAGTTTTTGTGCGTGGCGTGAGGTATGGGTCTTGTTTCAGTTTTTTGCAGTTGGAAATCCAGTTATGTCAGAACAATTTGTTAAAGAGACTATCTTTTCCCCAATTAATGGACTTTGGACCTTTGTCAAGTATTAGCTGCTCATAGGTGGATAAATTTATGTCTGGATTCTCAATTCTGATCGATTGGTCTATGTATCTGTTGTTGCACCACTGCTAGGCTGTTTTGACTACTGTGGTGGTATAATAGGTTCTAAAACCAGGTAGTGTGAGGCCTTCCACTTTGTTCAAAAAAAAAAAAAAGATTTTAAGAGATGTGATCAGAAGACTGAAACATGTAACGAATTCCTGGAAACTAAAACAAATGACATCAGGTTGACAAGAACAAACAAAAGCCCAAACACATCATACTTACACAAGAACAGAGTTTAGAAATCCTGTAAAGTCAAAATGAACAAACAGAAAAAGGGGGCCCTGGACCACAATCACTGGGAGCCCTGGTGGCACAATGGTTAAAGTGCTCAGCTGCAAACCAAAAGGTCAGCGGTTCGAACCCATCAGCTGCTCTACAGGAGAAAGATGCAGCAGTCTGTTTCTGTAAGGATTTACAGCCTTAGAAACCCTATGGGGCAGTTCTACTCTGTCCTATAGGGTCACTATGAGTCAGAATCGACTTGATAGCAGTGGGTTTGAGTTTGGGGTTTTTTTTTTTTGGACCACAGTCATCAGTCTAAAATTTAAATATGTAATAGGAAACTAATTAAGAGTAACCCTCTTCCCTACTCCTGTTTATACTGACCAATGGTATTTGTTTTCAAGCCAAAATATCAGAGCTATGGTCTAAAGTGACGTACCTGCCTATGGAGAGTCCCTAGAAGAGGCCAAGAGAGAAGCAGTGCAAAGCTTACTGTATCCCAGACCTTCATAACAGACACAGAAGAGGACAAAAAAAGCAAAGGCTGCTCTATCAAGGGGGGAAAAAACATTAAGCATTCAAAAGTGATGCCTGCTAATTCATAGGCCCAATACAGTTAGAGAGAGTCCAAAACTGGTCCTCCCATTCCAGGGAAAGTCGTATTGGGGAAAACAATCTAAACAACTGCAAAGGAAAGTCAGACCAGCACCTATACTATTCATATATGTGTCATTCATAAACACAAGGAGACAAACACACATCAGAAGATATTTAAGGAAAACCTGATTACATGGTTTTAAATGAGCACTACTCAAAACACTATGACTTACCAGCATCAAAAACTGAGTTACCAAGAAATCGGAGTTCCCAAACCTGGTTACGTATCTGTCACCTATGGAATTTTTTGTTTTAAATACAATTTCCTAGAGTTCGCCACAGATCTATTAAATCAGAATCTCTAAAATAAAATCTGAACGTGTATTTTTTAAAAGTGGTTCAGGTGACACTGACTTTTACTTCTGGATAAGGGCCAAAGATCTCTGATAATTCCACAGGTACACTAGTAGGCCTGTTAAGCTTAGTAAACTTATAGTTTAGAGATAACTTTTTTTCCAAACTGGACAGTTTTTGAAAAGAGTTCTACCTCCCTTATTAGAAAAACTAGTCCTTTTCTAGAACTTAACTAGTCCTTTTAATTACCTCCAAAAACAATTAAACTATATCTTCCAACAGAAACAATACTAAGCAAAAAGGAATGCATATCTGACATTTTTTAAAGATTAACAAATTCAAAATCAATTCAAAATTAACTTAACTAGCTATGCTTTGGATAATGATTAATTAGCAACCAAACAAAACACTGTTCTGTTTTGGTTTTTAGTCAAAAAGGCAATTTATTTACTTACAGAAATCCATTAAAAACATCAAGGTTTTTTCCACTCAAGGCACCAATCTTGAATGGCCAAAACATTTATTTTATATCCAGATAGATTCTGTAAGTTTAAAGATAATGGGATAATTATCTATCCAAGTTTTGTTTTTTTTTATTTTTAGTTTTTGCTTTGGTCACCAGCATGAGTAGATCCAACTATATTTAAACACTTGTAACAAAAAGGAAACTATCACATAGCCTCTCAAATTGCCATAACTGTGAAAACATTACCAATTTGTATTAATTCTGGATTTTAAAATCTATTAAACTGAGACCCTTGTGTAACACACTTTTTAATCTCTATATGATAAAAAATAATTGCTGAAATATCTATTAATGATACATATACAAAATACCTATTTACTTAGGGGAACAAAATACTGATATGGTAGCTTTAAATCAAGTACTCTGGTTAGTTTTCCCACCCACAGCCTCCCCACGTGCCCTCCATCCATGTGAAGTTAAGTGAACTTACATTTCATGACATTTATTAGATTATGCATCACTAATACACAGCACACCAAATGACAAATTAGCTTAAAAACACACACACACATTTCAGACTCTCTCCTATAGGACTATTACATACCTGATTTTTCATCTTGGACTTCAAATTCTGCACCAGCAGACCCCAGAAGCGATGCCCCATGTTGTAACAATCTACATATATCAAATCTGTCAAAATTCAATCGATCTGTAGTAGATGACTCTTCCATAGAACTTTCTGAAGTAGGTTCTAGATGAGGTTTAAAAATATTTAATTCAATCATGAAACCAAAGTGTGGAATGAAAGAAAATACTATATTATTAAGTGGGGTAGGTGAGTAATATTTTAAGAAAAGTAAAAGCTGGAGGAAGTAGAAAAGTTATTGTGGATTTATTTATGCTCAGCTCTTAGTTATCTGTGTATGAACTATGTACTTGGTGGCTCCCCTTCTATAAACCATCAGAATATTAGTGGGCATATGGGTAGCTGTTTCTGACTACAAAAGCTAAATGTTATATAAAGAAATGCATTGTCATGCTGAAATATACATATATATAAAATATCATGTTGTCTCCACTTTGTTAAACAGTTTAAAAATATCAAGGAAACAGCATGTTAAACTGTTAAATTAAAACACAAAAATATTCACTGAATTTATTAATAAAGAAAGCTAATGAGCATCATCCCTCCTTATACCTTAGGAATATTTAGGACACAAACCAACCACTCACCATAGGACCCACTTACCATAATACAAGCAAATTATTATCTCCTGGTAAACTGCTAAAATTATACATCCATCTGAGGCCTAAAAAATATCTATAAAGTGTTCTGAATTCCTCCCCAAAAAGGTTTTATATATATACATATATAACTGTTCACTGACTTATTAGTTTCTTTAGCTGACATTTGCATCTACTATATCTATAAACTAAAATGTAATTGCTTAACTTAAAGAGAACTGCTATGAACATTTTAAGAGTTTTAGAGATGACAAGCAACTTCACTATAAATGTTTATGCTAGTATAACATATTAATAACTTAAAAAGAATATGAATTCTAGTGTCTCTATTTACTAAAATAAGTAGGGATACTGTGTTAAAAAAGAAAAAGCTCTTTTCTAAAACAAGTTATAACTTCTGGTTATATATATCATCTGATGAGAAGGTAAGTTAACATAATCACTAAAAATATTAGGTGCCAGCAAATAAAAGCAAAAATTTGAGGCAAGCTAAATAAGACTTATGACAAAAGTGATATTTATGAAAGTAACTTGGAAGTGAAACTCCAAGTGCAACATAATAAATTTTCACATAATTAAAATGTACACTTTTAAACCTTCCAAAAGCATATGATTCATTTTTAAGCGTCATTACAGGCAGTGAGAAAACATTTGTTTCCAATATAAGACACCTAAAGGGCACATAAAAAACTAAAGACTTAAACCTCCAAATATACATATATATTGTGCTTAAATTTAGAAAATAATTTCACTATTCTAGTCTCTCAGCAAGAACAAACAAACTCTTCCAAATAATTACACTAAAAAGATTAATTCCTTTTTTAAGGACATAAATTCCTTGAAGAAAGTAATAATCACTGTAAAGCAAGCATACTAGAATTAACCTTTTTAAAGAAATACATGAAAACAGTTGACTCATCAGTTTTTTAATGTATGGCGAAAGCCACCTTATTTAATGTAATTTCCAGATAAGGATGTACCTAAAAGCATGAAAATTAAGCTACTGAATTAAATTATATAAAATATATATTATAGCTAATTCTACGGTTATGTTTTTTCTGCAAACTATTTTTCCACTTAAAGCACCTTGTTTGGTTCTTGGCACAGGATTCCACTCAGGTACATTTTTCACTATAGCTTCAACAGCTTGTCCTGCTGCAATCCGGGTATCCCAATTTGTACTCCTTAAATATATCAACACCTTAAAAGATTACAAAATAAAATAGTTACATATCAAAAAATATTTCTTGCTCAATGTAGCCAGGACAGAGAAATACAAATTACTTGTTAGTCATTTATAATTTAGTAGCTATCCAAATATATATAAAATATCATGGTACCATTAAAATCATTTACAAAATTCTATCATTCACAAGAAATATAACTACTACCTTCTAAAAGGGAAGCAGGAACTTTCAATAAAAAAATGCGTTTAAGTGCATTTAAAAAACAACATACCTATTTAACAGTCTAAAGGCAAGGTACAGATTATTCACTAAGTCTCATTACTTAATACAGAAAGAGAGTTATATTGTTGTTAGTTGTCCTGAAGTTGATTCCGACTCAGGACAATCCCGTGTGTACAGAGTAGAATTACTGCATTGGGTTTTCAAGGCTGCGACTTTTCAGAAGCAGATCATCAGGCCTGTCTTACAAGGTGCATCTGGGTAGGTTCTAACTGCCAACCTTTTGGCTAGTAGTTGAGTACATGACCATTTGTACCACCCACGGAACCTAAGAGCTTGGCTGCTAACCAAAAGATCAGCAGTTCAAATCCACCAGCCGCTCCTTGGAAATGCTATGGGGGAGTTCTACTCTGTGCTATCAGGTTGCTATGAGTCAGAATCAACTTGATGGCAATGGGTTTTGTTGTTAGGTGCTGTTGAGTCAGTTCCGACTCATAGCAACCCTATGTACAACAGAACGAAACACTGCCTGTTCCTGCACCATCCTCACAATTGTTGCTGTACTTGAGCCCAATGTTGTAGCCACTGTGTAAATCCATCTCATTGAGGGTCCTTCTTCCTCTTTTTCGCTGACCCTCTACTTTACCAAGCACGATGTCTTTCTCCAGGGAATGGTTTTTCCTAGTAACAAGTCCAAAGTACATGAGACAAAGTCTTCCCATCCTGTGCTTCCAAGACAGATTCGTTCATTGTTCTGGCAGTCCATCGAACATTCGATATTCTTCGCCAACATCGTAACTCAAAGGCATCAGTTCTTCTTTGGTCTTCCTTACTCATTTCCAGCTTTCGCATGCATATGAGGCAACTGACAATACTATGGCTTGCGTCAGGTGCACTTAGTCCTCAAAGTGACATCTTCGCTTTCTAACACTTTAAAGAGGTCTTTTGCAGCAGACTTGCCCAATGCAATCGTCGCTTGATTTCCTGCCTGCTGCTTCCACAGGTGTTGACTGTGGATCCAAATAAAGTGAAATTCTTGACAACTTCAATTTTTTCTCTGTTTATGATGATGTTGCTTACTGGTCCAGTTGTGAGGATTTTTGTTTATGGTAAGGTGTAATACATACTGAAGGCTGTAGTCTTTGATCTTCATCAGTAAATACTTCAAGTTATCTTTGCTTTCAGTAAGCAAGGTTGTATCATCTGCACAGTGCAGGTTAATGAGTCTTCCTCCAATCCTGAAGCCACATTCCTCCTCATATCATCCAGCTTCTTGGATTATTTGCTCAGCATACAGACTGAATAAGCATGGTGAAAGGATGCATCCGATGCACATCTTTCCAGATTTCAAACCACACAGTATCTCCTTGTTGTGTTCAAACAACTGCTTCTTGGTCTATGTACAGGTTCCACATGAACACAATTAAGTGTTCTGGAATCCCATTCTTCGCAGTGTTACCTATAATTTGTTATGAGCCACAGTCGAATGACTTTGCACAGTCAACAGAACACAGGTAAACAGTTTTTTGATATTCTCTGCTTTCAGCCAGGATCCATCTGACATCAGCAATGATATCCCTCATTCTACATCCTTTTCCGAATCTGGCTTGAATTTCTGGCAGTTCCCCATTGATGTACTGCTACAACTGTTTCTGAATTATCTTCAGCATAATTTTACTTGCATGTGATATTAATGATACTGTTCAATAATTTCCTTTCTTTGGAATGATCATAAATATGGATCTCTCCCAGCTGGCTGGCTAGGTAGCTGTCTTCCAAATTTCTTGACATAGATGAGTGAGTACCTCCAGCACTGCATCTGTTTGCTGAACATCTCAACTGGTGTCCTGTCAATTCCTGGAGCTTTGTTTTTTGCCAATGCCTTCAATACAGCTTGGACTTCTTCCTTCAATACTTTCAGTTCTTGATCATATGTTACCTCCTGAAATGGCTGAATGTCAACTGATTCTTTTTGGGACAGTGACTGTGTATTCTTTCCATTGTCTTTTGATGCTACTTGCATTGTTCAATATTTTCCCCATAGAATCCTTCAATACTAAAACTCAAGACTTGAATTTATTCTTCAGTTCTTTCAGCTTGAGAAATGCCAAGCGTGTTCTTCCCTTTTGGTTTTCTAATCCAGGTCTCTGCACAATTTTTTATAACACTTTACTTTGTCTTCTTGAGCCACCCTTTGAAATCTTCTGTTCAGCTCTTTTACTTCATCATTTCTTTTATTCACTTCAGCTACTCTACGTTCAAGAACAAGTTTCACAGTCTCTTCTGACATCCATTTTTGTCTTTTCTTTCTTTCCCGTCTTTTTAATGACCTTTTGCTTTCTTCATGTATGATGTCCTTGATGTCATCCGACAACCCGTCTGGTGTTCAGTTATTAGTGTTCAATGTGTCAAATCTATTCTTGAGATGGTCTCCAAATTCAAGTGTGATATACTGAAGGTCATACTTTGGCTCTCGCAGACTTGTTCTCTTTTCCTCAGCTTCAACTTGAACTTGGATATGAGCAATTAATGATCTGTTCTGCAGTTGACCCGGCCTTGTTCTAACTGATGATATTGAGCTTCTCTATCATCTCTTTCCACAAATGTATTTCATTTGATTGTTATGTATTTAATCTGGCGAGCTCCACGTGTATAATTGCCGCTTACGTTGTTGAAAAAGATATTTGCAATGAATAAGTCACTGGTCTTGCAAAATTGTATTATGCAATCTCCAATGTCGTTTCTATCACCAAGGCCACATTTCCAACTACTGATCCTTCTTTGTTTCCAACTTTAGCATTCTAATCACCAGTGATTATCAATGTATCTTGTTTGCATGTTTAGTCAATTTCAGACTGCAGAAGTTGGTAAAAATCTTCAGTTTCTTCATCTTTTGCATTAGTGGTTGGTGTGTAAATTTGAATAGTAGCCATATTAACTGGTCTTCCTTGCAGGTATATGAATATTATCCTATCACTGATAGCATGAGCAATTAAAATTGAGTAAAAAAAAATTTTAAATCTTGTGACAAACAAAAAAATAAAGAGCCGAATTTTTAAAAAATTCGGGAAATATTAAGATATTTAATGGAATTTAAAGATTATAAACTGTCACTAAAATAATTTCTACCTTTACTTTTATGTTCCTATCCATGGACAAGTCTCTATAATTGCCTATTATGTTTTTTTAAAAAAGAATTCTTACTTTAGATAAGAGATTATTTAGCTCATGGGGATGAAGCTTCACCACTTCTCCAAGTTGCTGTGCAGCAGCTTTTCTTGTAACTGGAGTAGTGCCAGTATCCAGTAAGATAAAAAGACGATCAAGCCTGTGAAATAACAAAAACATAATGGTTATTCTGAGATGTGTTTCCTCCTATGTGTCAATTTGAGCCAATAAATATATTGAGCATCTATGAACAATGACCTATGCTCAGTCTGCAGAAGATAGCTCATTTCTTCTCTCAAAGAACTTGTTATAGAGAATAGAGGGCTAGGCAAGTACACAATGATTATAATATAGTGTTCAATAAGATATGTGTCATAAAAGAGTACAAAGTACTTTGAGCAGTGTCAAAGAAGGGAGAAAATACTATATTCCCAACTGTGTAATACTGAAAAGCCTTCATAAAAGAAATGATGTATGAGTTAATGGTAGAATAGGATTTCAAAACTGATAAAGTGGTGAAAGGCAAAGGGGAGAAACACAGCAATAAGAAAGGAAGAGGATATTTAGGGAATAGTGAATAACATACCTTGGTTGGAATTTAGAGTATACTTAAAGAAAAAGTGAGAGATAAAACTGCAGAATTAACTGGAACCCTACTGTGGAGACCTCTGAATACGTAATACAACCACAAAGGTTGTGATGATTAATATTGTGTCAGCTTGGCTAGGCTATGCTTCTCAGTGGTTTGCCAGATATTAGACTGGGTGCTCTTCCATAATTTAAAATAATGTAAGCACCTTCCATCATGGGATCTGATGTGATCAACCAATCAACTGAAAAGGGAGTTTCCTTGGGGGTGTGGCCTGCCTCAGTATATAAATGGACGTTTTGGCAAAACTCGCTCTCTCGTCGCTGCACTCTTCTAGTCACCTGATCTCTGATTCTTGGGACATAAGCCTTCAGAGGTCTCTGGCCTGCCACCTGACCTATGGATTTGGGATCTGCCAGTCCCTACAATAAATCAATCAATCTCACTGTGTGTGTGTGCGTGCGTGCGTGTGTGTGTGAGCACGTGTGCGTTTTTATCAATCACTGGTTTTGCTCCTGTAGAGAACCTAGATTAAGACAAAGGTCTTCGGTCAAGAAAGTCATGATACTGGAGCTATGCTTTAGGAAGATTAATCTGGCAGTTCTGTGAAGCATGAAGTAAAATGAAAGGAAGGTTGTAGAGAATTTTAGGCTAAAGTGCAGGCCTGAACTAGAATCATGGCAAGAAGACCAGAAAGAAGTAGAGAGAAACCAAGTAGAAGTGAAACACACATGGCACATGGTACAGTAACTAAATGAAATGCTTAGGGTATTGATAGGATTCTAAGATTTTGAACCTTAAAGAATAAAGATGTCATTAAAAGAAATGAGGATAATTTGAACTGTTATGTCCTTCATGCTTTATAATGACAAATGCATAAAAAATAAGTATAAATTTATTTTACAAGGCACATGATGCATAAAGATGTAATACATGAATTACCCCTAAAAAAAGATAAGGGAAGAGGAGAGGAAGAACAGTATAGGCATGCAGTTTTTGCGTGTTACTGAAGTTGGTAACAATTTTAAATAGGTAGTCATAAAGGCAAGATATTAAATGTAATCATCATGGTAACCACAAAGAAAATATCTAAAAAATACAAAAGGAAAGGAAAACGGAATCAAAATGGTTCACTACAAAAAAAAAAAAAAATCAATTAAACACAAAAGTTGGCAGTATTGGAGGAAATGAGGGACAAAGAAGGCATAAGACACACAAAAACAAACAACAAAATCACAGAGGTCCTTTCTTATCAGTAACTAAAGTGAATGCAAACAGACTAAATGCTCCAATTAAAAGGCAGAGAGTAGCAGAATGGATGAAAATAAACAAGACCCAAAAATATGTTGTCTACAAGAGACACATCCTAGACACAGGAATACAAATAGGTTGAAAGTGAAAGACAAATACACACACACACATTCAGCTCAATGGCAATGGGTTTTTCAGAGCCCTGATGGCATAGTGGTTAAGAGTCGTCTGCTAAGCAAAAGGTCAGCAGTGCAAATCCACCAGCTGCTCCTTGGAAACCCTATGGGACAGTTCTACTCTGTCCTACAGGGATGCTATGAGTCGGAATTGACTCGATGGCAACGGGTTTGGTTTGTTTTTTTTTAATATACATATGTGTGTGAGAGTGTGTGTGTGTGTGTGGGTGTGTGTGTAGCCAGCCAAAAGAGAGCTAGTGTGGTGATTTTAGTATCAGACAAAACAGACATTAAGTCAAAATCTGTTAAGAGACAAAGAAGGACATTATATAATGATAAAGGGGTCAATTCATAAAGAAAACATAACAATTATACGTATATATATACACATATATATATGCACCTAACATCAGAGCCCCAAAATAAATAAAGCAAACACTAACAGAATTGAAGAAATAGTTCTACAATAATAGTTGGAGACTTCAATACGCCACTTTCAAAAAAAGACCATCTAGAAAGATGATCAATAAAGATACAGAGGACCTGAATTAAACTATAGATCAACTAGACCTAGCAGACATATGTAGAACACTCCACCCAACAGTACAATATATATTCTTCTCCAGTGCACGTGCATCAATCTCCAGGATAGACCATATGTTAGGCCACAAAGCAAGTCTCAACATATTTAAAAAGACTGAAATCGTATGAAGTATATTCTCTGACAACAATGAAATGAAATTAGAAATTAAGAACAGAAGAAAAACTGGAAAATACACAAACATGTGGAAATTAAAACAACACACTACTAAACAACCAACGGATCAAGAAAGAGTTTGGAAAATACTTAAAATCCAACGAAAATGAAAGCACAACATACCAAAACTTATGGGATGCAGCAAAGGCAGTGCTCAAAAGGAAATTCATAGAAGTAAGCATCTACAAAGGAGCCCTTTGTGATGCAATGGTTAAGCATTCGACTGCTAACCAAAAAGTCGGTGGTTCAAACCCACCAGACGCTCTGCAGGAGAAAAGACCTGGCAATCTGCTCCTGTAAAGATTACAGCCTAGGAAACTCGATAGTGCAGTTCTACTCTGTCCTATAGGGTTGCTATGAGTCAGAATCTAATCAACAGCACAAGACAACAAGTGCCTACATTAAAAAAGTTCTAAAATCATTAACATACCTTTGTAACTTGAGGGAACTAGAAAAAGAAGAGAAAACCAGGCCTAAAGCTACTAAAAGGGACAAACCTCTAGCTAAACTGACAAGGAAAAAAAGAGAAGATGCAAATGAATAAAATCAGAAATAAAAATGAGGACACTACAACAAACCTACAGAAATTTTTAAAAAAAAAAAAAGGTCGTAAGAGAATACTATTAAACAATTGTATGCTAATAATTTAGATAACCTAGATGAAGTGGACAAATTCCTAGAGACAGAAACTTCCTAAGCTTCTTACTTCCATTAGACCTAATAGAAGACCTTAACAAATCTCTAACAAGTGAACAGATCGAATCAGTAATAAAAAACAAAACCAAAAAAGAAAAATCCTGAACAAGATGGCTTCACTGAGGAATTCTACCAAACATTTAGAGAAGTGGCTCCAATCATTCTTAAACTTTTCCAAAAAATAAAAGAGGAAGAAACACTTCCTAACTCAATTTATGAGGCTAGCATTACTTTGATACCAAAGCTAGACAAAGATACAAGAAAACATCAGATGAATATCCCTTATGAATACAGATGCAAACATCCTTAACAAGATACTAGCAAACCAAATTCAAAAGCATATTAAATGGATAATACACCATGATCAAGCGGGATTTATCCCGGAAATGTAAGGATGATTCAACATTAGAAAATGAATCAATGTAATACAGGCAGTCCCTGGGTTATGAACGACCGAGTTACTCACAACCTGTAGTTACAAACCAACCTCTGTAAGCCTGTTATATTAAAAATTTGAGGTACGTACAACAGTTCCTAATAACAAACAGGTGATACTTTACAATGCACATCAAATTATTATTACTGTACTATTATGTTACAGATGTTTTGTATCTGGAAGTGTTTAATGTTTTTTATGCATAGAAAGGTACAGTATATACTAGTCTCCTGTTATCCATGGTTTCACTTTCCACTGTTTCAGTTACCCACAGTCAACCATAGTCTAAAAATGTTAAATGAGTAGCATGATAAAATCTCATGCCTACACACTCTGTCCTGCCTTGGGACCACATTCACGTAACTTTTATTACAGTACATTATTGAAATTGTTATATTTTATTATTAGTTACTGTTAATCTCTTAGTGTGCCTAATTTATAAATTAAACTTTGTAATAGGCATAAGGTATAGGACAAAACATAGTATATATATGGTTCAGTACTATCTAAGGTTTCAGACATCCACAGGAGGGTCTTGAAATGTATCCCCCACAGGTAAGGGGGGATTATGTGTACATACTAAGACGAATATTTGACTAACTGATGGTAGATACTAACCGTATCTAACTATTCCAACTTACGTACAAATTCAACTTAAAGATAGACTTACAAACAGAACTTGTTCGTAATAAGGGACTGCCTATACAACATGAATAAACAAAAAGAACCACATGATCATCTCAATTGACACAGAGAAGATATCTGACAAAATCCAATACCTTTCAAGATAAAAACACCCAACAAGCTAGGAACAGAAGGAAAATTCCTCAATATGATAAAGGGTATTTCTGAAAAATGCACAGCTAACATCATACTCAATGGAGAAAGACTGAACACTTTCCCCTTAAGATCAGGAAGAAGACAAGGATGCTCACTCTCACTACTGCTATTCAATATTATACTAGCCAGAGCAATTAGGGAAAAAAAAAAAAGAGAGAGAGAAACAGAGGGAAGGGCAGAAGGAGAAAAGAAAATAAAAGGTATCCAAATCAAGAAGTAAGAAGTAAAACCATCCCTTTTTGTAGATGACATGATTCTGTATACAGAAGACCTGACAAGGAATTCACAGTAAGTGAATTCAGAAAAATGGCAGGATATAAAGTCAACACACAAAAATCAGTCAAGTTTTTATAAATCAGCAATACGCATCTGAAAAAAAAGTGAAGGAAACAAATCCATTTACAATAGCATCTAA